GAAAAGCTTCACATTTTAAAGGTTTTTATTGTTGCCTGCCTGATGGAGGACATTAGGCTAAAAAGGAGGACATGTCCCCCTTTTGCCTGACATCTGGCAGCCGTAACCCAGTGAGCTTTATGGCTTAACAAGAACATGAACTCAAAGTCTCTCAAATCCAATAGGCATTAAAGCACACGTTCAGTTCAGTATGCAAATGTAAATTAATGCACTTAGGAGCAAAAAACCCAAAAAGCAACAAACAAAAAGTAAAAACCCATGCTCCATCTGAAAATAAGGCTGTCAATACCTTTATGAGACCATTAAAGCTGCCCTTTTGTGAGATTTCAGTGATCGAATAAAGGTATTATTAGCCTTTACTTTCAGACAAAACACAAAAACATCCAACTGCACATATAAGCTGACAGGGTCTGAGGCAGCAGAAACGGAAAGAGATGTTGGTTTTTGAGTGGATAGCTGAATGAAAATGTTAATTTGGTGTGCAGCTGTAATAAAATGTTTTTTTAAAAATCCATGTCACGGATCATCAGGGAAAGGCTCAGAACTAAAACTGTCAATAAGCAGGCTATCCTTATTCAAATCCACGGATCTGCACCACTTGTACACCTGAAATAGCTGCCAAAAATGTGGTGGAGGTGGGGGGGCAGTCAAAATGATGAAGGGGCTGAAATGGCTCCCCTCTGAGGGAAATGTTTGCGGCTTTTTTAAGCTTAGAAAGCAAGTCGAATAAGAGATCTAAAAAAAGGTGTGTGAAATTATACCCAGTGTTGACTAAGGGAACAAGGAGATGTTTTTGATTTCATAATACTAGAAGGTGGGGCCATCTACTAAAGCTAAATAGAGGCCCTTCTGGTTTAAAGCGTTTATACATAGAGGATATTGTTAAACTGAGGGAATTCCACCCCCTAACCTAAATGGCTTTTGAAAAGAATTAAATAAATTCATGGAACAAAAGGCTGTCAGCGGTTGTTAATTCACCATAGCCATGGCAGTTATAGACTCTCTCCAGGACCAGAGGCAGGACTCTCCAGGAACAGAGGAAGGCTGGACTAGATAGGTCTGTTCTCTGTCTTAGCATGATTCTTCTCATCTCTTCACAGTTTGATGCTCTAAGCCAGTGGTCCCCAACCTTTTCCCAACCACAGACCGGTTGTGTGTATGTGTGGCACGCCCACAGGGGAGCAGAGCTTGCGCGCATGCACACATCACACTCTCACACATACACACAGTGCACTTGCAGGGGACAGAACGCTCGTGCACGACAGTGCTCCCGGGGGGGGGGTTAGATATATGTCTGCAGCCCAGTCCTGGATAGACCATGGACCGCTGCCGGGTCGCGGACCAGGGGTTGGGGACCTCTGCTCTAAGCTGGCTGGAGACTCAGTGGGGCACCTAACTGCTGAGCCAGGGGGTGAGAGTTCAATCCCCCGCTGGGCCTCCTAGGAGTAGAGCCAGCCTGTATAGCCTTGGGCATACGGCACACTCCCAGGTTACCCCCAGAACCAACAAATGGTAACCCTCTTCTGAGTCTACAGCAACTAGGAAATCCTGCAATGGTCAGAATAAGTCTGAATGGACTTGATAGCGTGTGATTGTTACTGATGTTCTAACCCCTATACCAACCTAGCTGTATGAAGTGACCATTCTAAATTGGAACAAGACACTTGCTGAACTTAGGAAAAACTCTACTTAATTTCTGAAGAATGATCAGCAACATGTTTGCTTTCCTTTCCTTTTTGGGTGCTGTTTAGGATATTTGGAACCTGTTCAATATTCACAGAAGTCCTTAGATCTCTGGCCAGTCAGAGCAGATGTGAAGGTGCTGGTGGTTGCTGGGAGCAGAGATGGAATGGAGCCATTTTCTGCTACAGAAAACAACGGCTCTGTTCTCAAAAATAATATTCTTCTGTCTAGGGCTCTCCAACTGTTTTGCCAGGTGAGGAATACTTGCAAGATTAGACCTCTTTTTTATAATAAAACCTAAACACTATATGAAAAGATCCAAAAGGGCTAAGATTATGATTTAAATTTATTTGAAATGCCTTTGGAATTTAATTTTCCCCCATTACCTTACATGGAAAAGAATCAAAGTAGTTCGACTGGGAAATCAATTCATTTCCTGACACCCTGCTTCTAAGCCTACTGCTTAGAAGCAAACTCCATTATTTCAACACTTATTCCCACCCAGCAGGAGCTGGGAACCTAACCTGTGGCCCTCCAGATGTTGCTTTAACTGCAGCTCCCGTCGCTCCTAGACAGCACAGGCAATGGTGAGGCAACATAGCAGTCAAAAAACCCCCGAGAACCAGCCATTCTCCTCTAGTTCTGCCACAGAGCAGCCTTTTGCAAGGGAAATACCTAGAGCCACAAACCAAGCATCCTTGCCCCCTTTTTCATCAACAGACTCCAAAATGATAAGCTGGCCTATATAATCTTGTGGACAAAGACACAGAAAACACGGCTAGCAAATGTGCATAAAATTTAGTAGCATGAACTGAAACTAGATAGATGTGTGTGGCGCTCTGATGTAATACATCAGCTTTAAGCAAACTGGAATAGGGCCACAAGTACTTTTGGAACAGCTAAACACAACAGAGTTGTGTAAAACGGCTTCTGAACAGAGGTTTGTGTATGAGGCAGAGAAACAACAGAAAACACAAAGAAAAGGCCGTGTGGAACCCCAAGGTTACACGAATGTAAGAATGGACGATACATTTTATTGGACCACCAGAAGCATAGCTATTTTACTGCTTGCGTTCATAATGGATGGGAATAAAAATCACTTATAATCTTGGGGCTCCTGTTATCTCAGTTGTCCTTTTGGAAATATCCAAGGTAGAAGTTATAGGGGGCAAAATTCAGGAGAGTTGCCACAGTTTGGAAGCTTGTATTGTACACCTTGCACAGTACTGTTTATTTCTTTGCAGGGAAAATAAATCTTGTAGCTTTGTGCAATTCCCCTCCCCCAATATTATCTTGTAAGCTAGAGAAAGGAACTGTGCAGTCCACCTGTTTTTGGACTACAATCCCCATGATTCCTCACTATTAAGTATGTGACGTGTGGCTAATTGGAGCTGCAGTCCAACAACCTGTGTAAAGCTACTTTGCTACCGATCAAAACAGAATAGCTGCATAATCCTTGAAATAAGGAAACACAGTGATAGCATCAGCATACAAGTTGGATATCACGTTCCTTATTTAGTGTACAGCTTTATTTAACAAGAACAAGAAGGAGGCAGATTTGTATAATCAAAGCCAAAACGGAATATTGCGAAACAGCAACAACTCTGCATGTAAAAAAGGGAAAAAAAGTAAATCTGTATAAAGATTTTCTTTACTTGTATAATTCAAAGCTAGTGCAGACACATTTGGAATAGTGTGCACGTGTGGGCTTGTATACACAGAAAATTCATTTCAGTGCTATTGAGCAAACATATTAACACAGATGGCAGTTCATCAGCTTGGTGATTCAGGAAGACTAAAGCTGCATCCTAGGGCAGGGAGCTAGTTTACCACATAAACTGACTTACATCCCAGCCTGAAATACATCTATGCTATTTATTTCTACAAAGCATGCTGAGAACCATGTGCTGGCTGCAGCATTTCCCAGGAGTGAATTGCCACATTCCCCATATCCCAGCTCTCTCCCTGGGACTCTTCTACCGTTTGTGCCTTCAGCTTAGGTGTTCTCCAATTATAGCTTACGCATTACGATTCGTGTGCCACGGAGACTCTGTGATTAAGTGCATTCCTATTGAGATTCTAGCTGCTACTTTAATGTGATGGCTCATTCCTATATTACTCAAGTAGAGCATTCAGTATTACTCTGAATTTAGTGCAATTCAGTGGAACGCCTACATAAACAACACAAAGAATAATGGCCTCACTCAGCAGGTGCAGACACACTGCCTCATGGTTGATTCCAAACAAGGTGTAAACAGGGCCAAGACATTATGGGGAGCGGTTGCCTGGGTGTTATTGGGGCACTGCCACCAGAACTGGCCAAGAAGCAGCCAAGGTATGCAGGCAGGTGGCAGCAGGAAGAAAGGTGTGACCATTACTGCCCTCTTACTCCTCCTATTTTCATGGCGAGTACTGCAGGGCCAGAGGGCATTCTTCAAGCAAAGTATGCAGGAAAGGAGGATTTGGTGGCAGGTGCTTCGGGCAGGAGAGGAATGGGGTGACGGCAAACTGGCTAATTGGACGGAGGAGCCCTGCCCACTCTCTCTACTCTTCTAGAGCAATCAATGCTATGACGTTTTAGCTGAAAAATGGAGAACTCTTGACCTTCCAAGATGTTTTAGATTACAACATAGCAAGTGAGTAAGGGGCCGTTGGAACTGCAGTCCACAGCATTTGGGAGGAGTCTCTGTAGCCCAGCTGAGCCGAACAGGTTCTACTATGGGCTCCCAGCTGAAGCAAGATGAACGTCTCATTCTTGCTGGAGACATGCGTGAGTGGACACAATGAGGCAACAAGTGACAGAAAAATATTTCAGTCACAGCAAGCAAGGTCAAATATCCAATCCACAGTTACGTGTATTTAAAACTGGATTAAAGTAGCACTCAAAAATGCTCAGTTGTGCTCTGTATTCTGGTCCTAGAGATGTCTAGGGAACCAGTGTTATTGTGACACAGGCCAGATTCTCCAGGACTGTTTCAGGCCAAGACCTTCTCCAAAGCAGAAACATACACATGAACTGAGGCTGTTGCCAGACATTTCTCTCCCTTATTTCTTTTAATATTTAGTATTGCTGGTATTTCTTTTAAAGAACATCCCCCCCCTACCCCCAAAAATGGCATATATTTCAAAGACAGCACCATGCAAAGCCAGTTCCAATATAAAGCATTGAACTACTGACACACACGCTAGAAAGCAGATGCCTCTCCACATTTTGCAGTTGTTGGTACATTCAATCTCAAAATATATTAAACCTCAAAATATATTATATTAATATAAATATAAATTTATATATATTTATATTAATAAATTGATTTATATTAATTTATTATCTTAAATTCTACTTCTTCCACTTAAATATTATTTTCTTTTATATTAAGAATATTCCCATTACAAAATAAAAAAGAATCCAATTCCTGCATTGCTCAAAATTAATCCCGACCAGAGACAGAATAACTTTGGATTCTTCTGTCTCAAGTGAAATAAAGACAACAGACGCAGGTAACTGTGAACTCCCCAATATATATAGGCTATGCAATGCTTCTCCTTGTGATTTATTTTAGAAGCCCCACCATCACTTCACTGATATCCCATAGTTTCCTTGCAACCAGGTCATCCGTGGCCTTAGGCAATAGTTGTTCCTCCTTACAATCTCCAAAATATTTCCCCGATACCCCCTCCACTTCAGGAGAGGAGGCCAGATAAATAGACGTCTGGGCTCCTTCCAATGGAGATTTGAAGAAAGCCCAAGACACGAAGTTGAACAGGGGCCTAGCTAGTAAAGGAATATGTATGTATCTGCCTAGATTTGTTCTAACCACACCGGGATGGAGCACATTAACGGTAACCCCTGTACCCTCCAAACGCCGGGCTAACTCCATGGTGAACAAGATGTTAGCCAGTTTACTTCGGCTATAAGCAAAACCTTTGTTGTAATTTAGCTCACTGTTCAAGTCATCAAAGTTGATCTCGCCATACTTGTAAAGCTTGGAGGACACCACTACAATTCTGCTGGGCGCAGAATTTTTCAGAAGTCCAAGGAGGAGGTTTGTGAGTAAGAAATGACCTAAGTGGTTGACACCAAACTGCATTTCAAAGCCATCTTCAGTCTTCATGTAGGGACACTGGAATATCCCAGCATTGTTGATCAGGACGTCCAGCCTAGATTCTTCCTTTAGGAGAAAAAGAGAAGAAAGGATAAATTAGTAATATGGATAGAATAAAACAAACACTTTTCACATTTTTTAAAAAATTAGGGATTTTTTTAAAGCTTACATTCGTTTCATCTGGCCAACCCCAATCATGAATATACTGATGGCTTTCACCACATACCTTTGATTTCCATACTTATGAAAATTAGGAAATATGCAGTAATAATGTGCCAGGATTTTCAGGTCTGAACATCACATTTTTGTCAGAACATCAGAAAACCATAGTTCCAAGACTATGAAACCAAGACTTCAGAAACTTTGCTATACACAGTAAGGGAATACTGAAACTTCGGCTTATTTAATCCTAAACATACACACATGAGTCTGTTTCTTAAATACTTCCAGCTGAGTCATGAGATGACAGCCTTCCCAATTTAGCGCACAGCTTCACAGATTATTCAGTTTGAAAACCAGATTGGTGGGAGGGGAGGAGGGCAATGGCAATAACCCAAAGGATGGCGACAGACCTGCTCCATCTCCCTGGACAGGGTCAGCCTGCTCCCGTTGGGGGCTGTTAGGAAAACCTGTGGCAGAGGGTATGCCTGGGTATCTTGTCAACTGCAACTTCTACAATCAGATGAATCAGCCACAATGCATCCAGCTCTGACAGGTACCTTTGTTTCTGACTTAAAGCCAGAAACCTACTGGCTATTTACACATGTGCAAGAGAAGCAAATGCTGAAGCCGCTGCAGCTGATGGCAGCTCACTGACAAGGTGCTGTATACATGCGTGCAAACCACACAGGACTTGTACCTTGGGAGTGCGCTGCAATGCCTCCCATGTTTGCTCTTACACATGCATAAATAATCAATGGGATTTTAGCACAAAGTGTACCAAACAAGCAAGCAACCCACGTGAAGGTAGATACGTTCATTAGTAAAATGGTGCTTGATAAATCTCCCAAGTCGGTGACACCTTCCCTAAAACAGGAATGAAGATCCACAGCATCTCTTGCATTCTGACATATAGGACTCTTCAAATATCAGAGGCTCTTCCCAACTTGGATTCATTACAGATCTACCTCTGGATGACAGAGGAGTCTGCAGCAGCATTTCACTCCAAGACAAAGAAAAGAGAATCTATGATGGGGGTCTGTCCTGGCAAACCAATTACTTCTCATGAGATTGTGATGCTATATTGCTTGGCAACACCTGATGCTGACAGGTCACATGGCCTTCTCTGAGTGACATGGCTGTATCTTGCTTTCTCTTCACATCTGCCGACCCAAATCCTGTTGCTTAGTACAGGAAAACACCCACGTCAAAGAAGATCTAGTGAGTCAACTCCTTCACAAGTTCCATTGATTCAAATGGGCCTACTTTAACTGCAATTTGAAGTTAAAGTAGACCTATTTGAATCAATGGAACTTGTAGAGGAGTTGATGAATCAAATCTCCATTGATTCAATATATTTACAGTGGGGTCTCTACTTAAGAACTTAATCCGTATTGGAAGGTGGTTCTCAAGTGGAAAAGTTCTTATGTAGAATCTGCATTTCCCATAGGAATGCATTGAAAACCATTTAATCCGTATCTGCTCTTTTCCGTCCATAGAAACTAATGGGAAGCTGCTATTCCGCCTTCTACCACTAGAGGGGGATTTTTTTTCTTTTTTTCCCCTTAAGTCAGGGAACAGTGTTAAAAGCACTTCTGACGAAGCTAATTTTGAAGCAATGGACTGAAAACCAATTAATCCGTTCTGGCTGTTTTTTTTTATCTGCTCTTTTCCGTCCATAGAAACTAATGGGAAGCTGCTATTCCGCCTTCAACCACTAGAGGGGGATTTTTTTTTCTTTTTTTCCCCTTAAGTCAGGGAACAGTGTTAAAAGCACTTCTGACGAAGCTAATTTTGAAGCAATGGACTGAAAACCAATTAATCCGTTCTGGCTGTTTTTTTTTTATGTAGAGGTGCGTTCGTACATTGAAACATTAGTTCCCATAGGAACTAATGCAAAGCTGGTTAATACGTACTCTACCACTAGGGGGAGAAATTTTTTTTAACCTAAGATGACCTAAGGTTAAAAAAAGAGCAGGAAAGTTTTTTTTTCCTGTTCTTATCTGGATTTTTGTTCTCAAGTAGAAGCAAAATTTAGCAAATGAAGCTGTTCTTAAGCGGAATTGTTCTTAAGTAGGGACGTTCTTAAGTAGAGACCCCACTGTACTCCAGTGCAATTTATTACACTAAATAACAGGATTTTGGCCGTTGTATAACAAAGTTTTACTGTGTGCCGCTTCCCATATAACACAGGTTCTTTTCTCATACAGGTTTACATTTCCTATATGCTCCCGTCAATCTTTTGCAGCAAAAGCAACAAAGAGCCCTGTGGCACCTTAAAAGATTACCATATTTTATTTGACATATGCTTTCATGGCCTGTGACTGATGAAGTCTGGCTCTGATGAGTGGGCTGTAGTCCACAAAAACGTGTGCCAAATAAAATATTTCAGGACTGAAGTCGTCACAAGACACCTTGTTGCTGTTTTTAATTGACAGCGCCTCCTTAGGGAGCGCGGGTCTGAAGCCATTCTGTACTTCAGTATCAAATGCACTCTGCATGCAATAATAAAAGAAGCTAGCCAAGCCAAAATTACCAAATCTTTCCTTTACAAAAAAGGCTACTCAGTGTTTCTTATTTTTAACTCAACTGTCAAGCTGCAACTGCTCTCATCTTATGATTGTAAGGTGGTTTTGGGGGGTTAAGGGTAGAGTAACACATAACTATTATTTAAAAGTTTGCACTCAGGCTTGCACAATAAACAAAGATAATGCAGTTCTAAGATGAGGATGATGACGATTCTTCATGGCTTATTGTTTTAGCTTTAATATTTTCTTTTTAATGTTGTAAGCTGCCTCTTTTATACTCTTAGCTTTAAATATTATCTTTTAAAGATGTAAACCACGGTTGTATACTCCATATTTTCAGCTTTAAATATTGTCTTTCAAGGATGTAAGCTGCCTTGAGTCCTTTTTAAGGAGAAAGGTGGGGTAAAAATGCTTTAAACAAACAAACAAACAAATCCTTCAAAGGGATATAAACCTGCCTGGTGATGCCGATGGTATATTAAATGATGACACTCCACAGACCACCCTTATACGTGCAGGAATGCACCAGCCTTTTGAAGAAGAAAAAAAGTCAAACAAGACTTCATCTCAAGCTACTAAAAGGTAAACACTAGGATAATAGTTTATGAAAAAAGGCTTGAGGGTGGGTTTGTTCTTTTCAGCAATGTCTGAAAGAATCAGTTCCTTGATGTGATTTCTACGGACTGGAAAGCCACCATTGGTTTTAGCTGATCAACATGCATACCTAAAATGCAATATATCTTCCAAAAGGCATGTTGGGGCAATACTTTTTCTGTTTTAGTGGGGGAGGGCAAAAAACAGTGTGCAAGCTTTTGAAGATTACTCATTTCTCACCAGTTGGGCTGTCATGAAAAGGAGAGGGGAAGTTTCACAGTCTTTTCTTGTAGTTTGCACAAGACCTGGCCTTGCCATGGAGGAGGGCAAACTAGACTGGCAATGAAATGCTATTCGTCACAATGGCAGATTTCAACCTGGGATAACAGGCTGCAGATATCCCGGAAGCTAGAAAGTGAAGGGCTTACAGACTCCATCTTGGCAAACGCCATGTTCCCACAGCAAACTCAAAGGTACTGTACTTCAAAGTGATTCTGTCGTATATGTCATATGTAGAAAAGATAGCCCTATTGGGTCTGTGCAAGCATCTTAGGTAAAAACAAAATAAAAATGAAAGTACAAATGAAAAAAGGCAAAAGGCAGTACCTAAAAGACTAATTTACATTTTAATGTGAGCTTTCGTGGACAAGTCCACTTCCTCAGACCCGTATGTTTGGGTGGTTAGGTGCCATGGACCTGCCAGGTTTTTATCACCACTGAACCACAAGAGTCACTGCACGGCCCTGGGCAAAGCCTGTGGTCTCTCTCTCTCTCTCTCAGCTTAACCTACTTTAAATAAAACACTCATGCAACCTCTAATGTCTGACAAAGTCGATGTGATCCACAAAAGATCACATTAAAGAACTGTATAGCAGTTAAGTTTTAAGGTGCTGTGATGTTTCTGCTCCATCTCTCTGGTCTAATCTACCTTACAGGGTTGTTGTAAAGGCAAGCGGTGAAGGAGGACAACATCTCGGTCTCACTGGAAGAAAAGTAAGATGTAAACATAACTCGTAAAACAAATAAGTAGTTCAGAAGGAGATAATCCCAGTCTCTTTGTGCTCCAAAGGATATGCGCAGGCAGGAGACCGGCTATTAATCACCCCCATTCTCTCATCTTCTTGAAGGGTGATCTCCTTAACCAGTGGAGAGAGAGATCCTGGAAGCTTTGAGGTCAAAGGAGGTCCCGCCTTGTGGGAAAGGTATCCTTCACCCCCATGCCAGCTCTGCTCTCTGCCTCTTGTCTTTTTGACTGCTGCTGCTATTATTATTATTCAAAACACCAGGCAGTCAACCAAAATTATAAAAACATTGACTGGCATTATATAACAGATACAATTTTTAATAAAAAAAACCTAAGTATTTGTTAAGTATCAGCGCAGGATGTGTGCTGTTCCTAGTACTGCTGTTTTTTTGTAGCTCTGATGGTGTGATTTCTACAACTCCTTATAATACTGTGTGAAATATTATTGATATTGTTCCCAAAGCCCCGAATGACTACAGGGATCACTGAAGTGTGTTTCTTCCACAGCCAAGATGTTTCGATGGCCAGGTCTCTGTACTTCGCTAGTTTTTTTCAATTCTTTATTTTCGACTTTGGCATCCCCTGGAATTGCAATGTCAATGACCCAGACATTTTTTCATTCTATGACTACTATGTCTGGTGTGTTATGTTCAAGGTGTCTTATCGGTTTGGATCCAGGAATCCCACAAGATCTTGATTTCCTCATTTTCTGACACCTTCTCTACCAGATGTTCCCATGGGTTTTTGGAGGCTGGGAAGTTATATTTTTTTTGCATAAATATACTCCTACTCCTACTATTACTATTATTACTATTACTATTACTATTACTATTACTATTACTATTACTATTACTATTACTATTACTATTACTATTACTA